CTGCTAAACCTGAATCTGTCCATCAATGTCACCGGATGGCCGTGGCAGATGCAAAGGGGCATCAGGTCTTCGTCGACACACACCCTCACGAGAACAAGAGCACCGCTCTGCAGACGTGTGTGTGTGTGTGTGTGTGTGTGTGTGTGTGTGTGTGTGTGTGTGTGCGCGCACACGTTTCCTTTGGTAAGAGAGATAGATGGTGCAATAACTAGTGATTGTATGAACGCATGACTGTGGAAATAGACTTTGACACTTTCCTGTATTGTCTGAATCTGTGAGTTTAACCTTATTTTTTTCTTTTGTCAGCTTTTCAGCGGTATATGATGGCTTCATCCATCCATCTGATGTTCTTTTACTCTGTCTCTGTAAGAAGTGCTGGTGTGTCTTGACCTTAAAGAGCTATTTCTACCTGAACTGACCCGTGAAAATGACAAAGTCGGGTTGATTCAGTCAAACTAAATCATGAGTTGACTTGAATAAAATCAAGTTAAAATCATTTAGGATACTTGACTATTTTTACGTCGAGAGCTTCTTAAAGAGATGTAACGTCTCTCATCATTTACACACACTCATGTCATTCCAAACCTGTATGATTTTCACACACAAGAAGATATTTTTTAAATGTTTAAAAGGCATACAGGCTTGGAATGACGTGATGGTGAGGAAATGATGTTTTTGGGAGTGATATACCCCTTTAAGTGTGCAAACCAGATGTTTTAACCCTAGAACACAGTGCAATCAGATGCATATTCTTAATAACACCAGTGTTTTGTCAATGAATATTCATTTTAATGATGATTCAGATAATTATTGTGCACACGTAAGATTGCTATTTTAGTTGCTAAATCTAACAAAACCTACCTTTCTTTCTTACCTATCTAGAAAAAAATAACGAATGCATTAAAATTATTTATTTTTAATAATTTCAAAAGTTTTCTTTTATGGGGTCAGGTTTGACAGCTTGCAACTTTCTCACTAAATCTGTATCTGAACATATGTTCATAAGACGTTTAACATTGCCTGTGTGTACAGGAAAATGAAGATGTTAAAATGTCCCATGAATGTAAACTAAACACTAAACTCCCTTTAAATATAAAAATAGCTAAACTAAACAGTTCAAAGACACCATAAGGAACATCAAATGAAAAGAAGCTTCTTGTAAATATAGCAAAAAAGTGTGCATTTTAAGGTTAAAGTACAGAAGTATACAGTGCGTCTCTCCTGCTTTGACCTTCCACGTGTCCTCCACTGCTCCAGAAGTGCGTGTGAACTGATTCGAATCGGTCTCATTGAAAACTGCGTACGTGAGAATTAAATGTCAATCAAGTTCTTTTGATTTCAACTCCGACGAGACGTTTGTTCGGTGTGTCTCAACACACCGTAGACTATTATTATGCAAATGAGGCGCACTTGAATATTTTCGCCTGTGTTTTTCCAGCTGATGTCAGCAGTTCCCGGGAACGTCCTTCTCCACATAAACGCGTCAGGTCGCCGTGGGCTGACGCGCGCTTGGGAATGTCAACGGCTGTGCAACAGTGTCCTACATACTCACTGCATGCTGGTGAAACTGTTACACACACATGCATGCACATCAAGCCATTCTGAGCCATTATTGTCCCTCATTGACATGTGTAAAAAAAAGAAAGAAAAAAAAATTCCATTCTTCGTTAAGAGGAAGATTGTTTGTGGCCTGTCGATCCCCATCATTTGTGTATTCATTTTGTCCTTAAACACAGAAAAAAACATCTCTCTCTCTCTCTCTCTCTCTCTCTCTCTCTATATATATATATATATATATTGTCTTTAATCCCTATATCTTTTTAGATTTTAGTTGAGAGGGTTTTATTAAAAATGCCTTAAAGGTGCATCCACAGGTTATTGGATTTTCCCTTTTTTTTACTTTTAAGAGGACAAGTCTCTTTTTAAATATATCAGCATTAAATTCTATTTATATTAATTTCTCGACCTTGGGCTTGTAGCGTCAAATTATGACGGCATACATGCAAATATTTATTTAATTATATTAATGTATTTCTAAATGGCAGAGTGCCACTAGCTCATTATTTGAGCGAATTTTTACAATTTTCCAAACATTTGTTTTAAAGATCATCTATCAAATGCGAAGAATGCATAGAAATCGCAATGCGTGTGCATGCAGTGCCTCCCCTAAGTGAGAAAACGAACATGTGCAAATCAGCATGTATCACGATAACGCTTTCTTTCCAGGTCTGAATGTTTGTGAAATGGCAATCCTACTGCGGGACGTCCTTATTCGTCCCATTGAAGGAGTGAACAATGAGAACACGATGTCAGACAACAGTGTGTACTACAGCTCCAGGATCCGCGTTAATTGCGGACATATGGCTCCTACTGGAATCATTGAGGAAACGGACCTTCTGGTACCCAATTCGTGTGATTTGCATGAAAAGAAAGCCATTGGTTTATAGACCGTGATGTAAAAGAATGACCTGAAAGCCTGAGGCCACATCCAGTAGTTGATTTAGTGGTTTGCGTCAAAAGAAGCGAGCGAAAACGCAGCGCGGGAGGGCAGATTCTTAACGCGGCAAACGTAATGCAAAACAGCAAAATCGTCCCAAATTGAGTATTAACATTTGCAAGCAATACTTTATTTTTTATTTTTTTTTATACAACCTTAATAGCTTAAACATATATTTATTTTATTTTCAAGAAAGCTGGTTACATTTAAATGATCTTATAAATAAATGCGTTCATTTATAAAAAAACGTTTTTTTTTTTTTTTTTTTTTTAAGGAAAACTGAACGGATTTGTTATATAAATAAACCTTTCTGTTTTATTTCAGGCTTCGGGGAAGAAAAAAAAATCTGGCGAAGGCGTGGACGTCTCACAGCGTCATTAAGTCATCCAGTTCAATGTTGGTCCCGGGAGATTTTTTTATGGATTAAATTAAGTACTTCCATCTTCATTTCCCACCTGATCGCAGCCATATAAATCCCAACAGCTGATCAACAGACTTCAGAAAGCCCGACGCCTTCAGACGGAACAGCTGGGAGTTAAAGCAGGAGAGAGGAGAGCGAGCAGGCTGACGCAGACTCAGCTGTTTCACTGTCCTTTCTGTGTCTTTTGGGGAAGAAAAGCAGCACGGAAACTAGAGGACTAGTTAGTTTAGACTCGAACCTGGAAGATACGATCGTCGTGAAGGGTCCCAGAGGAGCTAAAGAGAGAGAGAGAGAGAGAAAGAGAGAGGAGTGAAGCTGTCCAGTTCTGAATGCGTGCGGCGAACGGGAGCTGTCCAGTGCTGAAGTTGCATTTCTCCCGAAAGCATCGAGGCGTCGCGCTTCATCAACACAAGCGCATTCAGGGGCTCGAGGGTCTGCCGTAACCCTGTGCTGGCATCCGAATCTCGGCATTACCGAAGAGGAGCGATACTAAAAAAAAAATTACAAAAAAAAACGCGTTTTGTTTCAGCGTTGCATGAGGAAAAGCGAGCGAGTCGACCGGCGGACGAGTGTTTTTCCCCTTCAATCTGAAACATGCCAAGGTCTTTCCTGGTCAAAAAGGTTAAGCTTGATGATTTCTCATCCGCTGATTTGGAGAGCTCCTATGGCAGATCCAGGGCAGACCTCAGCCTGCGCTTTCATGAGAAAGGTAATTTATTTCATTTGACCTCGCATACACATCTAGTTCGCTCAGACGCAAGGGCATGTTCATGCACATTGACGTTTGCTGGTTTATAATCCTAACCTCGGCATTGACCCACAGTCACATTGTAGGCTATTCAACACCGTCAGGCGCAGCAGTTTTTGTCGACTCGGCACATTTCAGGTGTTGCGCTCTTTCGAGCACGCATTCGACTCGCTTTAAGGCGCATTTTCTTTGAGAAAACGCAGAGCTAGCAACAAGTCCTTCGCATTTACACCGAGAGTTATCGAAACGTGTCATGGAATTATCCACGCACACAGTCTATTAAGCGAACGCTTGATCATGTTTCATGTTATTATTCACGCTCTACATAACCTGCGCTTTGCATACACTTGCATAATCAGACATTCATAGAATATTCATGCATGCTCTTATGACACAGTAATATCCTTACACATCGACCTAATTCTGCTCAAGTGCCATGCAATTATAACCGAAGCGATACCATTGCGCTTTAAATGGGTTGCAACGCTAATTGAAATGGAGACCTATTGATTTTTTTGCATGCGCCTGTTAGATAATGCACGAGTTCACCTCTGTCTGATGGAGGAGTAACACGTTGTTGCATTGCATTTGAACTGTGCGTGTTTGCAGGGTACATCAGCGACTACATGACCCCGGCCCCGTACGATGGCGAGAGCGACAGCGGCATTAAAGTTCCCTCTCCAGGACCCATTTACGACAGCATCCACAGCGATTATGGAGCGCCGGATTCGGACCAGCCCGACAGCCCTCAGTCGGAGATCTCCTCGGGATACATCAACGGAGACACCGCGGTCAGCGAGGGTTACACGGTGGACGCCTTCTTCATCACGGACGGGAGGTCGAGGAGAAAAGCCATCAGCAGCCCGAGGAGCATTCAGAGGCACACGTGCAACGAGTGCGGAAAGACATACGCCACGTCTTCCAACCTGAGCAGACACAAGCAGACGCACCGCAGCATGGACAGCAAAATGGCCAAGAAGTGCCCCACCTGCGGGAAGGTGTACGTCTCCATGCCGGCCATGGCCATGCATCTGCTGACCCACGACCTCAAGCACAAGTGCGACATATGCAGCAAGGCCTTCAGCAGGCCGTGGCTTTTACAGGGACACATGCGCTCGCACACAGGCGAGAAGCCCTTCGGATGCGCGCACTGCGGGAAGGCCTTCGCCGACCGCTCCAACCTGCGCGCGCACATGCAGACACACTCGGCCTTTAAGCACTACAAGTGCAAGAGATGCAACAAGACCTTTGCCCTGAAGTCCTACCTGAACAAGCACTACGAGTCGGCCTGCTTCAAGGGCGCGTTTGCTCCTCTGAGCCCCATGGAAGTGTGAACGCTCAGTTGACAGCACAGTTGACATCGAATCCTGGATTAATCGCATGTACCTTAACTTTTCTTTTCTAAGTGTACTCTTTCTCCCGCTGTTCACGTATTCAGAGCCCAAATGCCACCCGTTTTGCCAAAACTCAGAGGACGTTGAAAATGTCTTTGTTTCTCTCAAAAGGTCAAACCTTTTCTAAGTATTGGATAATATTGTACTGCTGCCAGTGGCCACAAAAGTGTTCAGCATTGAGGTAAAACTATTTATTCATTAACTTATTTATGTATTTATATATTTATTTCCTACGGATAGTCTTAATTTGCACTTTAATTTGTCGTTCAGTTGCCAAGCCTTCGTCATCAATATGCCAAAGCATTTGCCACTTTCTGAATATCTTATTTTTGGTTGCCACTTTATAAATTTGTTGCATGCAAAAAAAAAAAAAAAAAAAACACACACAAAAAAAAAATAGAACTAATGAAATCTATGCCAATTTTATGAAGCTTTGGATTTTTTTGCCAAAACCTAGATAGCATCCGTCGGCAATATTTCTCGGGAGTCATGATGAAGAATAGAGCAATAATGCATGGTATTTTTAAAAGCTAAAACGAGTAATAACTATAGCCTTTTTGATCACGATTTTATCCAATACTACCAGTAGTCATTCACAGAGCCGATCCTGGCATCCCTGGGGCCCTAAGCAAAAATCTGTTAAGGGGCCCTCCTACCTGACCCATGAGCCATGTAAACCATTTGCCATTGCCACACAGTCACACCTGACACCCCAGTTCTCCCACTACAATCCTCCCTCGTTTAGTTAGTACTAATGAAAATGTAATTCCTGATATCAGAAATAGACATATTTTATATTAATATCAATAATTCACATTTTAAATAGTACAAATTTAATTATTGATATCAAAAATGCATCCTGTGAATTAATAAAAGCTAAAATGGCTTGCCATTGCATGTCACTGTGTTTTAAATGATAAAAGCAATAATTGATACTTGATGGTTATTATTTACTGATTGATGTGCATCCATATTGACCAGTATGTCCAGCCAATCAACATTTTAAATGCAATAGTCAATATCAATAGATTGCTTTCCATCTTGCTTTATTGCAGGGTTGTAACTATTCTGATTTGGAGACTTGATAATCATCGTCTTGTTTTAAAGTGAGCGCCTAATGAAGAGTGCCATAACGCCCATATTGTACTGGTAACTGGTCCCCATAGATTTTTTTTTTTCTGGAAAGTGCGCGTTTCATTTCGTGCACGCGCATATGAACTCATGTTAACGCGCGACGCGGTTATCTTTTCCGAGCTGCAGTTTATAAACAAAAACCGTTGCCCTTTGTATTATCAAACGTAATATCATGAAAGTGCGTATCTATAGCCTACCACGAATTTAATTTATCGTGCTATTTATACGCCAAAAATGTTTTTTTGCGTGCATATGCTACGCACTGTAAATCTCTTGGGTAGGATTAGGGGTGTGGAGTGCGTGCATATTACACGCCAAAAAGTGCGTATCATATGCACGCAAAAACTATTTTTGGCGTATAAATGGCACGAGAAATTAAATTCGTGGTATAAATACGCGCTTTCATGAGATCGGGCTGGAGACAGACAGATAGAGAGAGATGCACATCAACTTAACTTTACTGTTCTGTTCTGTGCTGACATCAAACTTGGAGAGGAGAGAACACAAGTTTACCTGATCGCTGTTCCCGCAATTCACTCACATGGTGTTTTTCTCTCAGTTTCTCTTTTCGTGACCAGAAGGATAGTTCCGCTTAATTATCTCATCGATGTTGTAAACTTTGATTGACGCGCTTTGACGCGAGGGGGAGGCGGGGCCTTGAGTAATTTGCGGGGCCCTACGCAGCTTGCGTAGTGTGCGTATAGGGAGGATCGGCTCTGGTCATTCAGAAGTTAAATATCAGGGAAATGCCAGAGTAGTATTAGCGGATACTTCCACGGGATGGGGGGAGGGATATAGGGTCCTTTTGTAAGTGGTTATGCACTGCCTGCCTCTTATTTAATAATGTAGTTGTAGACGTAGGCGGAACGAACAGATCCGGATCATCTGCTCCAACTCTGAACAAACCTGTCGTAGGAGATCGGACAGCAGATTGATCTTTGAAAAGCACTTCTTTTTTTGAAAAAATAACAATAATACAAATAGTAGCACAAACCTTAGCAATTCAGGTAGACGGGCCTTGTATTAGTCGAACCTCTGTTTTTGTATTTACGGACAAGGAGAACTAACTGTTTAATGCAAGACGCCTTGTAAATAATCCTTTGGAATTGAATATTTCTACAAGCTGTAAAGAATCAAATGAACTTATTTCTGGACTTCTTTTTCCCTGGGTTTTTTCCCCCCAGCATTTGAACAATGTAAAGCACAAACGACACCGGGCATTTTCTCACTTCATAATAAAGAACCAATAAGTAACCCCGTGTGTGTGGTCGTGTTTGTTGTAGTGACGCAGCGAGATCCGCTGGATGGAAACATGCTGATTCAGAAAGACGCGCTCACCTCGGTTGAGTAACCGTGCGATGACGTCAGTGCAGTGACGCAACAGTGTGCGTGATGTGAAAAAAAATCATTTCCAAGATGCCAAGCGCTCATGCAACGGCGGATTCCATGCATGCTTTCATCTCAATTAAATCCTTGACTGATGCCTTTGTTACACATGATTGAATTTTATCCGCATTGTGTTCGCAGGGAGCTCTTGAGAAAAAGAGCATGTGATCAAAGAGAATCCAGCTCGAATGTGTTACAGCGTTCTCGTTCTGGAAAGATCCCCTATGCTTTGCCACATGTAGGATTATGGTTCTCCGCAGCGGTAACCTTGAGACATGCGTGTGACAGAGGGAATTTGTCCGTCAGCTTTATCCAGGTCCCAGCAGAGTTCTTATCAACGAGGACTAAAGCAGCTGAAAGTGTGTCCTGCTGACTGTGGCTGTTCACAGCTTCATTACCGGGGCTTTAGCTTCACACCAGCCCACCTGTGTCCCCTACTGTAATGAGCATGAGTAGTTTTAGTGCATGCACATGGACGATAAATAGGATTTTCATTCAGTTACGGGCCTGATCTGTCCTTTCGCTGCAAGGTCGTTTGTGAGAAATCTGCAATGAGTCATGCAACTTTCTCGCACACAAAGTCAACAGGAAATGCAACCCTTTTTTCTTCTGTAATCTGATGCATTTCGGAGTGAAAATTGTTGAGAGAAAATGCGGAATGAGGTTTCATCGATCTGGAATTGATTACATCACGAAGAGAGTCTTGATATGAGGTATAAGTGCGTGGTTGGAGGGGAAGGCATGAAAAGTCAATCTTTCTTTTAACAACAAGACAAACTTTTTATATTAGACTAACGTGCACTGATGAATCATTCACGAGGAGAACAAGCAGAGTTTTGATTTCATGCTGACTTTAAGAACTTCAGCAAACACCATTTTTCTGTGTTAACTCAAAGTTTTGATGCATTCGGAAGTGAAATGTCTTGAATGAATCCACTATTGCTCTCCCTTTACGTGTCCAGAGTGCAGTGGCCCCAGAGCCAGTGTAATGTGCTGGTGAACAGGGTTTGGGGAACAGCCGGCAGGAGACAGGACAGCTGGCTTTGAATTATTGCATTTTGTATGATCACAATAGCATCAGGATCATTCATTAAAAAATTCAATGATTTTGACCTATGTTGACTCTAAATGATGGGAACTGAGTATGTGTGTGTGTGTGTGTGTGAGTGAGTGAGTGAGTGAAAGTGTGTGAGTGAGTGTGTGTGTGTGTGTGTGTGTGTGTGTGTGTGTGTGTGTGTGTGTGTGTGTGTGTGTGTGAGTGAGTGAGTGAGTGAGTGAGTGAGTGAGTGAGTGAGTGAGTGAGTGAGTGAGTGAGTGAGTGAAAGTGTGTGTGAGTGTGTGTGTGTGTGTGTGTGTGTGAGTGAGTGAGTGAGTGAGTGAGTGAGTGAGTGAAAGTCTGTGTGTGTGTGTGCGCGTGCACGTGTGTGTGTGTGTGTGAGTGAGTGAGTGTGTGTGTGTGTGTGTGTGTGTGTGTGTGTGTGTGTGTGTGTGTGTGAATGTGTGTGTGTGTGTGTGTGTGTGTGTGAGTGTGTGTGTGTGTGTGTGTGTGTGTGTGTGTGTGTGTGTGTGTGTGTGTGTGTGTGTGTGTGTGTGTGTGTGTGTGTGTGTGTGTGTGTGTGAATGTGTGTGTGTGTGTGTGTGTGGGTCCGCTGCAAACAGTGTTGCTCCACCAGAATGACTCATGAACATTAGCAGAAGGGTGAAGGAACATCACAAACCCTCCAGTCTGCAACATCTCTTCAGGATGACACACACTGTGTTCTGACCCTCTGTGTGTGTTGAGTAATACTCCTGCGACTTTCCTTGTGTCTGTTCACAACCTTCAGACCTGGGACACGTCAATCATTCCGCTTCTTACTTTAACTCAAGTTAGGAATATAAGGAGTAAAAGGAATAGTTCGCCCAAAAACTGCTCATGAAGTCATGAATTGTGTCTGTTCCTCACACAAATCTATTGTAAGACTTGGTATATGATATATTGATTACTGATATGATACTTTTTTGGTGTTTTATGTTCTTTTGGGAGTTTCTTTGAAAGATGTTGTCACACTGAACCGCTGTTCACTCTTAAAAATAAATGTTCCAAAAGGGTGTTTTTGCAGGGATTGCCATAAAAGAACCTTCTTTGTGTGTGTGTGTGTGTGTGTGTGTGTGTGTGAAAAGCTCCATGGATGTGAAATGTTCTTCATGGAACCATTGATGCCAATAAATAACCTTTATTATTAAGAGTGTATGGAAAATAATTCCATGGGGATTCTTTTAAAAATGCTATGCACTCTAAAAAATGCTGGGTTGTTTCAAACCAAATTTGGGTCAAATATGGACAAACCCAAATGTTGGGTTAAAAATGTAATAAAAAAATGTACAGTTGAAAGTGAAAGTTGAAGTTGGGTTAAAATGTTAAAATACTTCTTTAACCC